GACAGCACATTTGTCCTGGAGAAAGCCCTCACTCCAGTGCCAATCAGCTCAGTTCATCCCTCTATGTCTCTGGTGCCCCTCGAGTTGCCTCCCCTCCAAGCTTAGAGGGAGTGAGTCCAATAAGTCCGTGCATGGGCCCTTTAAGGAGCTGCCTGGGGCCCCAGCTGCGTCAGCTTCCCTGAGCCTCAGTTCCCGCTGGTTTTTGCAGCCAGAAGTTATGGGGACTTCTCTTCCTGGCACTGGAACCCTAAGCGGGGTGTTTGGTGTGGGATGGGGACCCTCAGTCCTCAGGGAGGACCTTCCCAGCTGAGGTATCCTCCTTATTTTTGTCCACCACACGTGGGTGTGGGACCAGCCTGTCGTGCCTCCGCCCCTCTTGATGTGGCTGCTGCTTTAATTCTGTAGTTGTAGGACTTCCATTCAGCTTGATTTCAGGTGGTTTTGAATGATGGTTGTTCTGTAATTTAGTTGTAACTTTGATGTGGTCATGGGAGGACGCAATACTGCATTTACCTACACTGCCATCTTGACTGGAAGTCCTATAATTTTTTTTAAATTATTTTTTTACAGTCAGTTAAGAAGTAATTTAAAAAAAAAAAAAAAGACAACGTTTTTTAGCCCTGGCTGGTTTGGCTCCGTGTCTAGAGCGTCGGCCCGCAGAGCAAAGAGTCGCGGGTTCGATTCTGATCAAGGGCACGTACCTTGGTTGTGGTTCATCCCCGGCCCTGGTTGGGGTTGTGTGGAAGGCAACCAGTCGATGTTGTCGCTCTCACATAGATGTTTCTCTTTCTCTCCCTTCCTCCTCTTTCTCTCTTCTACTCTGAGATAAATAGAAAAATATCCTCAGGTGAGAATTTAAAATTTTTAAAAATTGGGCCCTGGCCGGTTTGGCTCAGCAGTTAGAGCGTCAACCTGTGGTCCAGAGAGACCTGGGTTTGGTTCCCGCTGAGGGCGCGTACCTCAGTTGCAGTTTGTCCCTGGCCCTGGTTGGTTGTGCAGGTGGCAGCCACTCGATGTGCTCCTTTCACGTCGATGTTTCTCTCTCTCACTCTCTTCCTCTCTCTCCCTCCCACTCTGTCTGAACAAAAAATGGAATAATGTCCTCAGGTGAGGATAAAAAAAAAATTGTGATAAAACATATGTAATATTATGTTTTCTATATAACAGATTTATTAAGATATAATTCATATACTATAGAGTTCTACCCTTTAAAGTATACAGTTCACTGGTTTTTAGTATATTCACAGACTAGTGCAGCCATTACCACTATCAACGTTAGAACATTTTTTTTGTTACTTTTTTTTTATCATTCCTCACCTGAGGACATTTTTCTATTTATCTTCAGATAGAGTGGGAGGGAGGGGAAGAGAGAGAGAGAGAGAGAGGGAGGGAGAGACAGAGAAACATCTATATGAGAGAGACACATCAACTGATTGCCTCCCGCACGACCCCAACCAGGGTGCTGGGACGAATTGCAATGGAGGTACGTTCCCTTGACCAGAATCGAACCTGAGCCCTTTGGTCCACGGGCCAACACTCTAACCACTGAGCAAAACAGGCCAGGGCTTGTCACTTCTTTAAAAAATAAATTTTTAATTGATTTTAGAGAGAGAGGAAGGGAGAGGGAGAGATAGAAACATCAATTGGCTGCCTCCTGTATGTCCCCCACTGGGGATTTGGCCCACAACCTGGCCATGTGCCCTGACTGGGAATCAAACCGGCGACCTCTTGGTGTATGGGTTACTTGTTCAACCACTAAACAACACTGGCCGGGCAATGTTAGAACATTTTCATCACCCCCAAAAACCTCAATACCCATTAGCAATCACTCTTTATTTTCTTCAAACCTCTTCTTTTTGTTATGTTTTTTTTTTTGTTCATTCTCACTCAAGGATATTACTCTATAGATTTTTTTATTTTTTTATTTTTTTTAGAGAGAGAGTGGAAGAGGGAGGGAGGAAGAAGGGGAGAGAGACAGAGAGAAAACATTGATTGGTTGCCTCTTTTATGACCCTGATTGGGGCCAGGGATCGAATTTGCAACCCACGCCCTTGCCCTTGACTGGCAAGCGAACCCTGAACCCTTGTCTGAGGGCTGATGCTCTAAGGCTTAGCCAACCTGGCTTGGGCTGTTGTTTATTTTTTAAATAGCTCTTTCTTCTAGCTTTTTATCCCAGTAAAATAAGGGTTTTCTGTTTTGGAGCTCTAACTTCGTATTTCTCTTGATTTAGTAAGTGGCATGAGTGGTATACTTAAAACATTTTGTTTCAATTTTTTTAGGAAATCGTTCAGTGTTAATAAAATATAGCCTACCGATCTTAACTTTTTTAAAGGGAAAGATAGGGTAATTGACATGTATTGAGTTCTTGCTAACTATTAATCATTGTGTTAGGTTGCTTATCTTAAAAATGGTTCTGTTTGCTACCCAGCCAGTGTGGCTCAGTGGTTGAGCGTCAGCCCATGCACAAAGAGGTCACTGGTTCGATTCCAGGTCAGGGCACACGCCCACATTGTGGACCAAATCCCCAATGTGGGGGGGCATGCAGGAGGCGGCCAGTCAATGTTCTCTCTCATTGATGTTTCTATCTCTCTCTGCCCTTTCCTCTCTCTCTCTCTAATTAATAAAGAAAAAAAATTTTTTTTTTTTTTATCCTCACCCGAGGACATTTTTCCATTTTTTTGTTCAGGTAGAGTGGGAGGGAGAGAGAGGAACAGAGAGAGAGAAACATCGACGTGAAAGGAACACATCGAATGGCTGCCACCCACACAACCGACCAGGGCCAGGGACAAACTGCAACCGAGGTACGCGCCCTTAGCAGGATCCGAACCCGGGTCTCTCCAGACCGCAGGCCGACGCTCTAACCGTTGAGCCAGACCGGCCAAGGCAAGAAAAAAAATTTTTTTTAAAACACGGTCCTGTGTGTTTCAGGTGATCACTTCCTGTCAGTTTAATAGAAAAAGCAGCCTCAGAAATCTGAGGTTCAAGCAGGTTAAGGTTCACACAGCTATGGCCTGGGAGAGCCAGAGTTTAAATCTAGAAGGTTTTGTTTTGTTTTATTGTTTTAATACCTGTAAAAACTCTTTACTAAAAATGTTCATTAACCACATAACACCTTAAAAGTTCCAGAATCTAGGATATATGTAAATAGTTAAATTGTAGGATGCTGGCTAATGATAGCAACACCAAGAGTCTAAAGATGTGGGTTATTTTCTGGGGGTACTAATGTAGTGAAACAATGTAATCTTGAGTACTTTTGAGAAGAGGCTAAAGGCTTATGCTTCTTTCTGTTGTATCAATGAACAGTTTTCTCTTTGGTATCCCAATGATGATCTCTTTGGAACAAGTGGAGGTGTTCAACTGCCTGTGTGAAAATGGATAATAATCACTTCTTCCTAAAAGTGAAGTTGCAAAATACCCTTATTGCTAAACTCTCAGTATATAACTTGGCAGAAGTTCTTTAGCGTTAAATACTCTAGTAAGAGATGCATTTGAAAAGTTCTCTTTATTTGGATTACTTTAACAATCAATTATAAGTTAAAGCTCCAATGAATTATTTTCTAGTTGAGGTAAATTACCCAATGGCATCACAGGGTTTTCTATGGTCTGCTATGATGAAAGGTATGGATTCTTTTTTTTTTTTTTAATTTTCTAAAATCCTCACCTGAGGATATTTTTTTCATTTATCTTCATATAGAGTGGGAGGGTCGGGGGAGAGAGAGAGAGAGGCACATCGATGTGAGAGACACATTGACTGGTTGCCACCCGCACAACCCTGACCAGGGCCAGGGACCGAACCACAACTGAGGTATGTGCCCTTGACTGGAATTGAACCCGCGACTCTTTGGTCTAAGGGACAGTGCTCTAACCGCTGAACCAAACCAGCCAGGGCAGATGTATGAATTCTTGATGGTGTAACTGTGGAGGAAAAAGCTGTTTCTGTGAATCATAAAATTTTTCCTAATGAAAAGTTCTGAATTTTACTGCAAGGAAACTCAGGCCTTGGAGGTATTAGTGATTTGACTAAGGATTCACAGTTAATGGAAAAGGGAGACAGGAGTATAGATCTCCTGAGTTGAGTCTATATTCCTTTTTGTGAATAAACTTAGTGTATATACTTACAACTAAAGTCCTTTCAAAGATTTGGTTTTGTCCTTTACTCTTTTAGCCTACAGACCCCTGAGGAGGCTGAATTTGTGTGATTATATCATTCTGTAATTCTGTGAGTAGTTTTTAGAATTATGGATATGATTATTTCTTATACAGCATCTATTGTTTTCAGAATCTCATTTTAGAAAATGTGGAAATAGAAAAAATTATATACATAATCATACATATATGTAATAATTACATATATTAACAGAAATAATGAGGTACATTTGGTAAAACACACCACTTTTTTTTTTAATCCTCACCCGAGGATATTTTTCTATTTATCTTCAGATAGAGTGGGAGGGGAAGGAAGGGAGGACACATGGATTGGTTGCCTCTTGCGTACCCCCTACAGGGGATCGAGCTCACTATCCTGGTATGTGCCCTGACCAGGAATCAAACTGTCAACCTTTTGGTGCATGGGATGATGCCCAACCAACTGAGCCACACCAGCCAAGGCCACACACCTCTCTCTCTTTTTTAAAATTCTACTTTCTTTATTGATTTTAGAGAGAGGAAGGAGGAGGGAGAGAGATAGAAACATCCATGAGAGAGAACATGGATTGGCTGCCTCCTGCATGCCCCTCGTTGAGGATTGGGCCCACAACCTGGGCATGTGCCCTGACTGGGAATTGAACCGGCTACCTCTTGGTACATGGATTGCTGCTCAACCACTGAGCTGCACCAGCCGGGCACACACCACTCTTAATGCAACTAATGATGTACCTTTTATGTCCCATTTTTGTCTCTCAAAGATTATTATTATTTACTTTCTCATCTAGTAATTTATACATCTAAATTTTCTAATTTCTTCTTTTGTTGATTTTTTTTTTTTTGCTTCCCCTCCATAGATCTTGAGCCAGATGATTGTGCGTCCATTTACATCTTTAATGTAGATCCACCTCCATCTACTTTAAATTCACCACTTTGCTTACCACATCATGGATTGCCATCTCACCCTTCTGTTTTGTCACCATCGTTTCCGCTCCAAGGTCACAAAAACTATGAAGGAACTTGTGAGATTCCAGAATCTAAATACAGCCCATTAGGTGGTCCCAAACCCTTTGAGTGCCCAAGTATTCAAATCACATCCATCTCTCCTAATTGTCATCAAGAAATAGATGCTCATGAAGATGACCGACACATAAATGATCCAGAAAAGGAATATTTGGAAAGGCCTTCTAGAGATCATCTCTATCTTCCTCTTGAGCCATCTTACCGGGAGTCTTCCCTTAGTCCTAGTCCTGCCAGCAGCATCTCTTCTAGGAGCTGGTTCTCGGATGCATCTTCTTGTGAATCTCTTTCACATATTTATGATGATGTGGACTCAGAATTGAATGAAGCTGCTTCCCGATTTACTCTTGGATCCCCTTTGACTTCTCCTGGTGGCTCTCCAGGAGGCTGCCCTGGAGAAGAATCCTGGCATCAACAGTATGGACTTGGACACTCACTGTCACCCAGGCAATCTCCTTGCCACTCTCCTAGATCTAGTGTCACTGATGAGAATTGGCTGAGCCCCAGGCCAGCCTCAGGACCTTCATCTAGGCCTACATCCCCCTGTGGGAAACGGCGACACTCTAGTGCTGAGGTTTGTTATGCTGGGTCCCTTTCACCCCATCACTCACCTGTTCCTTCTCCTGGTCATTCTCCCAGGGGAAGTGTAACAGAAGATACCTGGCTCAATGCTTCTGTCCAGGGTGGATCAGGCCTTGGCCCTGCACTTCTCCCACCATTTCAGTACTATGTAGAAACTGATATTCCTCTAAAAACAAGGAAAACATCTGAAGATCAAGCTACTGTACTACCAGGAAAATTAGAGCTCTGTTCAGATGACCAAGGGAATTTATCACCATCCCGGGAGACTTCAGTAGATGATGGCCTTGGATCTCAGTGTCCTTTAAAGAAAGATTCATCTGGTGACCAATTTCTTTCAGTTCCTTCACCTTTTACCTGGAGCAAACCCAAGCCTGGCCACACCCCTATATTTCGGTGAGTTGATGAAATGGCTGCCTGGTATTTATACTTATGGATTATTGGTGGCAGGTAAAACTACGTTATCTATATGGAATGGTTTGACCTTTTTTTGTCCTCTTTATTTTTCTATTTCTTCCAGACAAATAACTTAAAGTCTGCATGTATTTTCCTTGAGTCTTAAAAATATCTTTAGATAGGCTAAAGTTACACATTTTCAAGTGTATAGATAATGAATTGTAGATAACAAATTGCATTTAAGAATCACTTTTAAATTCTTTTTTTAAATTAAAGTTTTTTTTTTCTTTATTGATTTTAGAGAGAGAGGAAGGGAGAACGGGGAGAGAGAGAGAAACATTGATGAGAGAGAACATTGATTGGCTGCCTCCTGTGTGCCCCCCACTGGGGATCGGGCCCCCAACCTGGGCATGTGCCCTGATCAGGAATCAAACTGGCGACCTCTTGGTGCATGGGTTGATTCTCCACCACTGAACCATACCGGCTGGGCTTAATTTATTAATTTTAGAGAGAGAGAAACATTGATTTGTTGTTCCACTTATTTATACATTCATTGGTTTTTCCTGTATGTGCCTGGACCAGGGATCGAACCTGCAACCTTGGTTTATTGAGATGGCCCTCTAACCAACTGACCTACCTGACCAGGGCTAGATGGAATTATCTTATCTAAAAAAGCTTTTTGTAAAGATGGATTGTAGTATGAATTAAATTACTAATAAAACGAATTGAGAATAGGCTTTTTATATTTTTAAGAGCTCAATATACAAGTGTAATTTGCCTTTTCGTATTTGTGCCAAGTTTTGTTTTTGTTTTTTTAATCCTTACCTGAGGATATTTTTCTGTTTATCATCAGATAGAATGGGGGTGGGGGGGAGGGGGAGAGAGAGAGAGAGAAAGCAAGAGAAAGAAACATTGATGTGATAGAGACACATCGACTAGTTACCTCCTCTCACGACCTGACCAGGGCTGGGGATAAACCGCAACCTAGGTATGTGCCCTTGATTGGAATTGAACCCTTGACTCATTGGTCTGTGGGTTGATGCTCTACCACTGAGCCAAACCGGCCAGGGCTGTGGCAGGTTTTTTGTTTGTTTATTTTCATAAAATTTTTGTCTTTTGACTTTATAAGTTTGATTTTTTTTTTAATTGTGTAGAGGAATTAAAAAATTTTTTTTGTTCAGATTTGTTTCTTTATGGCTTTTGATTTCTTGTTATATTTGGAAGCCTTACCCCACTCTAAAATAATTAAAATATATAAAAGTCTGCCCTGTCCTGTTTGGCTCAGCGGTTAGAGTGTCAGCCTACGGCCAAAGAGTTATAGGTTTGATTCCGGTCAAGGGCATATACCTCGTATCTTGGTTGTGATTCATGGTTTGGTCCCGGCCCTGGTCAGGGTCATGCGGGAGGCAAACTAATTGGTGTGTGTCTCTCACATAGGTGTTTCTCTCTCTCTCCCTTCCTCCCTCCCTCCCACTCTTTCTGAGGATAAGTGGAAAATATCCTCAGGTGAGGATTTAAAAAAAAAGATATATATAATTTTTACATTTTTGATAAAGTTTTAATATATTTTAATTTTATAATATATGCATGTAACATAATATATTTATGTTTATACTATAAATATTTATAGTTTTTGTACTATATATTACATTTGTAAATTTTATATGTATATATTTATGTAGAATCTTGAATCCAGCTAAGGACTGAAGAGTAGTGTAATGACTTTATTTTCCAAATGGCTTATCAGTCATAACAATACCATTTATAGAATCAATCTAGTATATATAATTGATTAGAAAAGACAACTCTACCATATATTAGATCACCAAATAAAGTTGGATCTGTTTACTTTTTTTAAAATGCTTTTTCATTGGTATGAATGTTTATTTGTGGATCCACATCTTTAGAAAAATATAATGTAAAATTATAGTATTGACAATACCTTTGAGCTCATCACTCTGCTTCTGAAAATTATCTTAATTTTTGGGAGGGTTTGCGTAAGTCTACAAAACAGTTGCCCAAACTAGCTGAGAGTCAATGAAATTGAGTTGTCAGACCAATAAAAATTAATACTGTTGAGCTACACAATAGCTCCTGAAGCTTGGCTGAGGCCAGTCAAGGAATCAATGAAGTAATTTAGAAATTTATAGCAAGGCCCTGGCCTGTTTGACTCAGTGGACCTAGAGGTCTCAGTTTCAATTGATTCCTGGTCAAGGGCACGTACTTGGTTGCAGGTTCCATCCTTGACCCCAGTTGGGATCGTGTGGGAGGCAATCTCACATGAATGTTTTTCTCCCCACCTCACCCCCTTCTCTGCCCCTTTCACTCTGTCTACAAACAAAAGAAAGAAATTTACAGTAGGAATTGCTAGCATTTTAGAAGGTAGAAGAGACTTTAAAAGTCCCATTTTACCAATCACTGAGAAGATATACTTTTTAAGACAAATCATTCTAGCTTTGGGTTCATTAATACTTGACCTATAAATATATATGTTGTTTCTTTTCTAATTCTAGATTTTTACTGTTAATATACCTAAATGAACCTGTAGCCCTTTAAGCTGTTGAAATTATCTTACTGATCATTTGCCATTTGTCTCTAAAAGTGACATTTAGCCCCGGCCGGTTTGGCTCACCAGTTAGAGCATTGGCTTATGCACCAAGAGGTTGCCAGTTTGATTCCCGGTCAGGGTACATGCCCAGGTTGTGGGCCAAATCCCCAGTAAAGGGCATGCAAGATGCGGCTAATGGATGTTCTCTCTCATTCATGTTTCTATCTCCCTCTCCCTTCCTCTCTCTCTAAAAGAAAAAAGGCAATAAAGAAAAAAATTAAAAATAAATAAAATTGATATTTAAAGATGCTACAATTATACCCCTTACATTTTTCAGCCAAGTATGTATTAAAATTTAATTTTTACCTCAAATTGCAGTATATTGCTAAGTATAAGCAATGTTTCAGAGATACAGAGTAAAGAACAACAGGGAGGAAGTGGGGGAAGCAACATGTACAATCGGCTTACTTCTACAGCCTCACACCTGGGAGGGAGACTTATATCCTGAGACACAGGGGCCTTTGGATCCTTGGAGAGATACTGATGCACGTACGCAGAGATGTGCATCTTTGCTTTAAGAAATCAAATTATTACTACTTTGTTTTTGTACTTATGTACATACAGTTGAGAAACAGTTATAGTTTTACAAATGTTAGAATTTGTCCTTTCTTTTAAAATACAGGAAACCAAAAAGTTGATAAAATCTATTTTATTCTTCAGGTTAAAGAATTTTTTCTTTCCCTGACAAGTTTGGCTTAGTGGTTGGAGCGTTGGCCTGCAGACCAAAGAGTCTTGGGTTTGATTCCAGTCAAGGGCAAGTGCCTCGGTTGTGGTTGCAGTTCGGTCCTTGACCCTGGTTGGGGTCATGTGGGAGGTGGCCAATCAATGTGTCTCTCTCACATTGGCTGTTTCTCGCCCACCCTCTCCCCCTCCCTCCCTCCCTCCCACTCTATCTTAAGATAAATGGAAAAATATCCTCTGGTGAAGATTTAAAAAAAAGAAGAGTTTTTTCTTTCTTTCTTTTTCCTTTATTGATTTCAGAGAGAGAGGAAGTGAGAGGGGGGGAGAGAGAGAAACATCGATGAGAGAGAACATCAGCTGGCCACCTCCTACATGCCCCCCAGTGGGGATTGGGCATGTGTCCTGACCGGGAATCAAACTGGGGATCTCTTGGTGCATGGGGAGATGCTCAACCACTGCGCCACACCAGCTGGACAAGAATTTTTTATTAAGCACCCACTATATATAATGTTATAACTTATTAAGTGAAGCTTTATCTTGGGATACTTTGTTTCCAAGACCACAGGAAGAAGTGTTGGTGCCAGCAATGAATTGCTGCTTTGTAATAATAGAATGGTATGATGTGTCTTTGTGTGTTTTGTTTATAGCACATCTTCATTACCTCCACTAGACTGGCCTTTACCTACTCATTTTGGACAGTGTGAACTGAAAATAGAAGTGCAGCCTAAAACTCATCATCGAGCTCATTACGAAACTGAAGGTAGCCGAGGAGCAGTAAAAGCAACTGCTGGCGGACACCCTGTTGTGAAGGTATGCAATACTATACATCTGTTAGTGATGAAGTCTATTCAGTTAGGTGCTACTGAGCCTGGAGAGACAAAATTCAAAACCAGAAAGCCTCTATTGAGGCTCTGTGTCCTTGTTGATATGACAGCACTTTTACATTGAGGTTTTTTTGTTTGTTTGTTTGTTTTTTGTTTTTTGCTAGACTAAAAGATATTCCTCCTGGACTGATTCTCTAGCTGGGGAAAAAGATGATAGCCATAAAACAGTTGTTTTTCTTTATTTTTTAAAAATAAAGGCTGTAGGCTCTGGTCGGTTTGGCTCAGCAGTTAGAGCATCAGCCCGCAAACCAGAGAGACCTGAGTTCGGTTTCCTCTAAGGGCACATACCATGGTTGCAGTTTGTCCCCGACCCGGGTCGTGTGGGTGGTAACTACTTGATGTGTCTCTCTCACATCACTGTTTCTCTCTCTCTTTTCCCCACTCGTTCCCTCCTGCTCTGTCTGAGGATGAATGGGAAAATGTCCTCAGGTGAGGATAAAAAAAAAAAAAAAAGACTGTAATGTATTTATAAATATAATACATGCACATTTAAAATTAGGTAATACATACCCAGCTGGTGTGGCTCAGTGGTTGAGCATCAACCAAGAGGTTGCCGATTTGATTCCCAGTTTGGGCACATGCCCAGGTTGTGGGCCAAATACCCTGTGTGGGGCATGTAAGAGTCAGCCAATCGATGTTTCTTTTTTTTTTTTTTTTAATCCTCACCCGAGGACACTTTTCCATTTTTTGTACAGATAGAGTGGGAGGGAGAGAGAGGAAGAGAGAGAGAGAGAGAGAGAGAAACATCGATGTGAAAGGGACACATCGAGTGGCTGCCACCCGCACGACCAACCAGGGCCGGGGACAAACTGCAACTGAAGTACGTGCCCCTAGCGGGAACCGAACCCGGGTCTCTCCAGACCGCAGGCCGACGCTCCAACCGCTGAGCCAAACCGGCCAGGGCGATGTTTCTATCTCTCTCTTCCTCTCCCTTTCTCTCTCTCTAAAAATCAGTAAAGAAAAAAAATAAAATCCAGGTAATACAGAAAAATAGAAAGAAAAAAAGCAATAAATTACCCCAAATCTAAACCACTCAGAAACAAGCAATTGTTAACATTTGATTAATATTCTAAGTAATTTTCTGTGTAGCCCTTGCCAGTTTGGCTCAGCAGTTAGAGTGTTGGCCTGTGTTCCAGAGAGACCTGGGTTGGATTTCCGCTAAGGGCACGTACCTCGGTTGCAGTTTGTCCCCAGCCCTGGTTGGGTCATGCAGGTGGCAGCCACTCGATGTGTCCCTTTCACGTCAATGTTTCTCTCTCTCTCTTCCTCTCTCTCCCTCCTGCTCTGTCTGAAGAAAAAATGGGAAAATGTCCTCAGGTGAGGATAAAAAAGAAAAAAAGAATAATAATTCTCTGTGTATATCTTTAGTAGAAGACTGAATTAATGGCTAGAAAAACAGGAATGAATTTTTTAAGGATGGGATTAAACTGAATGCCTTTTTAATTTAAATATTTAATTTTTCTTTGACTTATTAAAAGAAGATAAAATTAACACAAAATTGTAAAAATTATGTAACATTGAGTATATGAAATTAATGTTTTGAATTATAACAGTTGAATATTAATTTTAATTTTACTTGAAGAAATTTTAAAAACTGAAACAAAAGTAAAACTACAAACTACTGAATCTTAGTCTTCACTTTAAGATGTCTTAAAAGATCTTTCTAAGCTCAAACAGATTAAATTATTGAGAGATTGAATCAGATTTACATGTTATGAAATAACACCCTGCTCTGAAAAATGAGGTAATTGTCTCTTAAACTGCTTACTCTTGCTCTACCTTCTGTATTATTTATTCTTTTAGATCTACAGCCATTGCCCTTTGTATTCTCCCTGTGTTGTTTAGCCTTGGTCCTTTATCTGGTTCGATTTAATGATTACTAATTTGTTTTTATTCATTTCATTAATTGTTTTTGTTTATTATGTGTGTGTATATATATTTTTTAATCCTCACCCGAGGACATTTTTTCGTTTTTTGATCAGATAGAGTGGGAGAAGAGAGAGGAATAGAGAGAGAGAGGAACATCAACGTGAAAGGGACACATCGAGTGGCTGCCACCCGCACAACCGACCAGGGCCGGGGACAAACTGCAACCCAGGTACGCGCCCTCAGCAGGAACCGAACCTGGGTCTCTGAGGACCGCAGGCCGACGCTCTAACTGCTGAGCCAAACCGGCCAGGGCTGTTTATTATATTTTTATTAATCCTCACCCGAGGATATTTTTTCCATTGATTTTATTATTATTATTATTATTTTTTAGAGAGATTGGAAGGAGGGGAGAGGGGTAGAGAGAGAGAGAGAGAAAAACATCAATGTGAAAGGACACATGAATTGGTTGCCTCCCACACTAGCCTCTACTGGGATCAGGGATCAAACCTGCAACCCAGGTATGTGCCCTTTACCAGGAATCCTTTGCTGCCTGGGCCAGTGCCCTAACCACTGAGCAATGCTGCCAGGACTTTGTTTATTTTTGTTTGTTTAAGGAGGTCTCTGGATACTATACGCTTTGGTTTCAGTTTCTTTCATGTTTTAGAATGTTTCTTGCCTTTATATACTCAAACATCAGAATGACTATATATAATAATCTTGAGTCACCTTTTTTTCTCTCTCAGAACTTGTCTTAATGGCATTATATATTATAGTGGAGAAATTATATCTGAAGTGAATTTGAACAAATTTAATTTATGAACTATCATTTCCCATACCCACCATAATTTATGATTTGTCACTATTACCTAAATATGTTTCATAGTTCTTGACAAACAAAGCTTTACATTTCTGGTGGGTTTTATAGTGATTTGTAGCCCCCCCAAAAAAATGAAAAAATAAGTCATAGAAAAAGAGATCAGAATTGTGGTTACCAGAGACAGGAGGTGGGAGTAGGTTGGGTGGGGGAATTGGTTGAAGGTGGTCAAAAACTTTAATTAAGATTTCCCCTGGCTGGTGTGGCTCAGTGGATTGAGTGTAGTCTCATGTACCAAGAGATCACTGATTTCATTCCCAGTTAAGGCACATGCCTAGCTTGCAGGCAACTCATCTTTCTATCTCTCTCTCCATTTCCCTTCCTTTCTCGACAAATCAATAAAAAACCTATTTTTAAAATATATATTTAAATAATTATGGGGCCCTGGCCAGTGTGGTTCAGTGGTTAGAGTGTTGGCCTATACACCAAAGGATTGATCAGTGGAAACAATATACTTGGGTGAAGATTAACAACAACAACAAAAAAAATGGAACAGCCCAGCTGGTGTGCCTCAGTGGATTGAGTGTCATCCCATGGACTGAGAGATTCCTGATTTGATTGCTGGTCAGAACACATGCCCGGGTTTCAGTCTCGATCCCCAGTAAGGGGCGTGCAGGAGGTAGCCGATCGATGTTTCTCTGTTACATCGACATTTCTCTCCCTTCCTCTCTCTCTCAAAAAATCAATAAAAAACATATTTTTTTAAAAAGGAACAAACTGCCGTAGCCGGTTTTGCTCAGTGGTTAGAACATCAGCCTGCGGACCAGATAGTCCTGGGTTCAGTTCCCGCTAAGGGCACGTACCTTGGTTGCAGTTTGTTCCCTGCCCCGGTTGGTGTTGTGTGGGTGGCAGCCAGTCAGTGTGTGTCTTTCTCTTCCTCCCTCTCTCCCTCTAAAGATGAATGCAAAAATGTCCTTGGGTGAGGATAAAAAATAATAATAATAAATAATAATAATAAAATAAAAAGAAACAAACTGTTGATACACATGAGTTGGATGATTCTTCATGGAATAATGCTGAATGGGGGAAAAAAGTCAATCTCAAATGGCTACATACTATTAAATTTTAAATAGTTACATGCTGTTTCTCAAAATGGCAAAGCTGTAGAGATGGAGACTAGATGAGCAGTTGTCAGGGAACCAGGGACAGGTTGAAGGTTGTGAATATAAAGGGGGTAGCACAAGAGAATTCCTTTGTGATGATGGAGAAATTCTGTATCTTGACTGTTATGGTGGTTACTTGAATGAGCACATGGGATAAAGTTGCATTAAACTGTATACATACTTTATAATATAGTGATAAGTTTTATTTTATTTAAAAACTTTTTTTTTCCTTTATTGATCTTTAGAGGGAGAGGAAAGAGGGAAAAACACGATGAGAGAGAATATCAATTGGCCGTCTCCTGCACACCCCTACTGGGTATTGGGCCCACAACCTGGGCATGTGCCCTGACCAGGAATCAAACCTGTGACCTCTTGGTATGTGGGTCGACACTCAACTACTGACCCACACTGGCTGGGCTACATACAGTGTTAAGTTTTATTATGGCATACATATTTGATTCTTATCCCAAAACTTACTGAGATTTTAAAAATGGGGTTTGTGATATTTTTTCATCTTTAGGATTTGTATTTCATCATACACCAAGATCCATTTCCAGATGAAAATTTTTTTTCTTTCCCGCTCCCCATTCCTCCTGACCCCTGCACCCACCCTCCCTCAATGATTTTTTTATATTTATTGTTATGTGCACATTTTCAGTTTGAAGCAGTTTATATTAAGGAAATTTAATTTTGTATTTCTAGTATCTCTGCGATATGTTGCCATGTTTCTGATGTATTCAGATTCCCTCCCCACAAGTAATTTAGCAGAACTGATAATAAAACTACTTTTTTTTTTAATCCTCACCCAAGGACATTTTTCCATTTTTTGTCCAGATAGAGTGGGAGGGAGAGAGAGAGAAACATCGACGTGAAAGGGACACATCGAGTGGCTGCCACCCGCACAACCCAACCAGGGCCAGGGACAAACTGCAGTCGAGGTACATGCCCTTAGTGTGAACCGAACCCAGGTCTCTCTGGACCGTAGGCCGACACTCTCACCGCTGAGCCAAACTGGCCAGGGCAATAAAACTACTCTTATTGAAGCTGCTCTTGTCTGTCCTATAGTGTTCTTTGGGCTTTTACCCTCCAGCTTTAGTTAAATTAAGCAGGCACAGACCTTTGCTATGGAAATGACACAGAAACTTAACAAACAACTTGGCTTACTTCCTTCTGTGAAGCAGAGAGTGGCCTGAGGAGAAGTATACTGATACTAGATGAATGTTTTTAGAGAGTAGTGTTAACAGTAGGAATACTTTGTTTATTGCTTGCAACGTAATGTTCCTCTGAAAATGGGATGAGGTGATAGTCTAACTTATTTGATGTTCCTTTAAAATCCCCAAGATACAAAGGAGAAACCCTATTTTTCTCGAGCAATAGTATATACACTTGGAATAGGTGTTGGCCAAATTATGTTATGAAATATATTCCCTTTGAAATTTTATATACATGATTACCTTCCCCCATTACTGGTTCATTTTACTATCAAAGTATAAAGGACAGGTGGCTTATGTCTTTGCCACGCTGGTATTAATGTGAGTCCTCTAGTATGACTAGGATACTTTGATATATAGTACTTACTAGTACGTTATGTGATATTTGGGTAATTTAATAGCAATAAAATTTTTTATTTGTATTTTCTGTTTTAGAGTTAACTACTTCATTTTGAATACCTGCGTTAGTGGCTATAATTCTTATTTAAATAATTCTATTGGCTAACCTCAGGAATTATTTTGCTCCACCAAGTTGTACTCTTATTCTAAAATTTATTCATTCAACAATGATTGGATGCCTGTAATGTTCTAAGTACTATAGTAGGCTCTGGAAATGACCCAGTGGATACTGTCCCCTTCATAATACTTAGAGGCAAGTGGTTAAGTAAGTGGCATTTCTTTCTCCATTAGATAAACAGTTGGTTCCATAGAATAATTTGCCCCATTTAGGATTAAATAAGAAAGAAGAAAAAAAAAGCAGGTATAGGAGAAAGGAGTGGATAATCACTTATTAACCATGAGTTTGGGGTAATTCCCTAAGCTTTCTTAACTTCAGGCTGAAGTTAATCTGAAAACTGGAAAAAACGATGTATACGCCACAGGAATTTTAGGATTAAATGAACTAATTTAGTTAAAGCATATTACTACTTTTTACCTTCACTTTTTCACCTCCTTAGATATGTGGATAAATCTCATTCTGCTTGCCCGGCTGGTGTGGCTTAGTGGACTGAGCGTTGTCCCATGGACTGAGAGGTCCCGGTTCAATTCCTGGTTAGGGCACATTTGATCCTCAGTAGGGGAGCATGCAGGAGGCAGCTGATCAGTGTTTCTCCCACATCGAAGTTTCTCTCTCTCTCCCTCTCTCTTTCTCTAAAAAAATCAATAAAAACATCTTTCATACAAACCAAAAGAGAAAAGTGGCTGAAGTTAATTTGTGTGCATATGTACACTTGCCATTTCTGCTTTACTTATTAATTTATTTAGGCTTTATTTTGTATTGTTTCTTTATGGAATATTTTTCATTTAATTAAAGCTTTAAAATTTATTAACTTATACCAAAATACATAAAATGAAATCACAGCTGAAAATATTGATAGATTTCTTGACCATATAAACATTTACAAAAAACTGTAACTTCTAGTTAAATATAGTAGATTGGTCCGGCTGGTGTGGCTCAGTGGTTGAGCGTCGACCCATGCACCAAGAGGTCTCCGGTTCGATTCCCAGTTGGGACACATGCCCAGGCTGTGAGCCTGGTCCCCAGTGGGGGACATGCAGGAGGTGACCAACTGATGTTCTCTCTCATCGATATTTCTGTCTCTCTCTCCCTCTCACTTACTCTCTCTCTTAAATCAATAAAGAAAAAAAATTTTCTTTAAATATAGTAGATTGAACAACAATCTGCAGTTGCATCTTAAGCTTATTGGATGAAAAGAAAAACTAATAAGGAGCACAAATCATTTTATACCAAAGAATCCTAGAAAGGCTCAGGAATTTGAGGCACTGGCGTGTCTCTGAAACTGGTATATGAGGTGGGGTTGAAAATGGAAGGATTAGTTAAAAGTCTATATATGAAGCATAATATTTCATTCTGTAAATGTAGTGCAGCTTTTTTTATCCACTCATCTGCTGATGGGCACTTGGGCTGCTTCCAAATCTTGGCTATTGTAAATAACACTGCAATGAACATAGGATTACATTTACACAATGGAATACTACTTGGCCATAATAAAGAAGGAAATCTTGCCCTGGCCAGTTTGGCTCAGCGGTTAGAGCATCGGCCTGTGGTCCAGAGAGACCCGGGTTCGGTTCCCGCTAAGAGCACGTACCTCGGTTGCAGTTTGTCCCCAGCCCTGGTTGGGTCATGCGGGCGGCAGCCACTCGATGTGTCCCTTTCACATCGATGTTTCTCTCTCTCCCCCTCCCACTCTATCTGAACAAAAAATGTGCTTGGATGAGGATTAAAAAAAAAGAAGGAAATCTTACCTTTTCGGACAGCATGGATGGACCTGGGCAATATTATGCTAAGTGAAATAAGTTAGAGAAAGACAAATACCATATGATTTTATTCATATGTGCAATCTAATGAACAAAGTGAGCTAAAAAAAGAAAAACCCATCATTCCTTTGTAATTTTCAGAATTTCATAATTTTTTTTGTTTGTTTTTTTTATCCTCACCTGAGGACATTTTTGTATTTATCTTCAGATAAAGTGGGAGAGAGAGAGAGACACATCGATATGAGAGACACATCGACTGGTTGCCAGCCACACGACCCCAACTGGGGCTAGGGACAAACTGCATCCAAGGTTCATCCCCTTAGTGGGAACCGAATCCAGGTCTCTCTGGTCCGCGGGCTGACACTCTAACCGCCGAACTAAACCGGCCAGGGCAGAATTTTATTTTATTTTATTTTATTTTTTTGGTACGTGCCCCTAGCAGGAACTGAACCTGGGACTGTGTGGTCCTCAGGCCAACGCTCCAACCCTTGGCCAAACCAGCCAGGGCAGAATTTTATATTTCTTAAACGACTTCTAAAATTTGGAAAGTTGTTCACTTACTACTATTTTATTTTATTTATTTTGATTTTTTATTTTGAGAGTATGTTTATTAAACCTAGGTGCAGCCCTGGCTGGTTGGGCTTGGCTGTTAGAGCGTCAGCCTGGGGACTAGAGAGACCCAGGTTTGGTTTCCATTAAGGGCACGTACCTAGGTTGCAGTTTGTCCCTGGCCCCAGTTGGGGTCGCGTGGGTGGCAGCCAGTCGATGTGTGTCTCTCACATCAATGTTTCTCTCTCTCTCTCTCTGTTCCTCCCTTTCTCTCTCCCTCTCTCTCTCCCTCCCACTCTATTTGAACAAAAATGTAAAAATGTCCTCGGTTAGGATAAAACAAACCTAGGTACAGTGAAACACTGAAGGGCTTAGGCTAGAAGCCACAGGAGAGAGCCGAGGCTGAGCTACTTTGGCTCACTGGAAAGTCAGAGAAAAGGAGACCTTGGAGAATAGGTTCAGGGGGTTAGCCAAGGACCTTCCCATTGCTGCCCTGTTGCAGGTCTCATTAGGACCCTTAGAGTTTAGGTGAGGCACGCTCCTGGGAGGGAGAGCATGCCCATTTACTACTTTTTATTATTATTATTATTATTATTATTATTATTATTATTTTGTTCAGGTAGAGTGGGAGGGAGAGAGAGGAACAGAGAGAGAAACATCGATGTGAAAGAGACACATCGAGTGGCTGCCACCCACACGACTGACCAGAGCCGGGGACCAGAGCCGGGGACAAACTGCAACCAAGGTACATGCCCTTAGCGGGAACCGAACCTGGATCTCTCAGGACCGCAGGCCGACGCTCTAACCGCTGAGCCAAACCGGCCAGGGCCCATTTACTACTTTTTAAAGATATCTTTTTTTAAATAACACTTTCTATATCAATAATATATGATACAGATATAAAGATTTGCTGTTGTAAGCTTATTGTAAAATGTATAGATAATTAATTTTTTTTTCTGTGTTTTTTATTCCTGATTAGCTGCTGGGCTATAGTGAAAAGCCAATAAATCTACAGATGTTTATTGGAACAGCAGATGATCGATATTTACGACCTCATGCATTTTACCAGGTGCATCGAATCACTGGGAAGACAGTTGCTACTGCAAGTCAAGAGATAATAATTGCCAGCACAAAAGTTCTGGAAATTCCACTTCTTCCTGAAAACAATATGTCAGCCAGGTATTTTTTTTTTTTTTTAATCCTCACCCGATATTTTTTCATTTGTTTTCAGATAGGGTTGGTGGGGGCATGGGGGACATCAGTGTGAGAGAGACACATCGATTGGTTGTTTTCCGCATGACCCTGACTGGGGCCAGGGATCTAACCTGCAACCCAGGATACCTGTCCTTGACTGGAAATTGAATCTGAGACCCTTCAGTCTGAGGGCCAACACTAACCGCTGAGCCAAAATGGCCAGGGTTAGAGGTTTAGTTTTGTATCCCATAATAGAAATATACACATAGGCATTTTAGGACTAGCACAGTAGTCATTGGGTTCCCAAGTTCCTTCTGTTTTTTCTTTCCTACAATGTTTTTTTAATATTATTTTTATTGATTTTAGAGAGAGGAAGGGAAAGAGAGAGAGAGAGAAACATTGATGAGAGAGAACATTGATTGGCTGCCTCCCGCATTCCCCCACTGGGAATCAGGCCCACAACCTGGGCATGTGCTCTGACCGGGAATCGAACTGTCGACCTCTTGGTGCATGGGTCAACGCTGAACCAGTAAACCACACAGGCTGGGCTTCCCTACAGTGTTTAGTGTATGGGTTTCATTGTCAAAACTGCCTCATGATTTAAAATGGCTGCTGGAGTTCTAGTCATCACAATCATAATCCTAGAAGGAATAAGGAAGAAGTGGTAAAAGAGAACTTCCATCTGAGTCAGACCTCTTAAAAGACTTGTCCCAGAAACTTACCCAACACATTTCATTGATTATTCTTGTATGTTAGGAAGATCTGGGTAAATTTTTTTTTTTTTTTTTACCTAAATACATTGCCGCCTCTAACACTATAGGGGCCTGTTACTAAAGAAAAAGGGAAGAAGGGATATTTAGTAGGCAACTATTAATCTGCCACAATCCAGTATGTGAAACTTACAGTGAAGTTTTTTGCAGAAGTTATTTCCACTAAGCCAAAATGGCCAGGGTTAGAGGTTTAGTTTTAGACTATAATATAGACCTTTCTTAAAATTGCAATAACATCTATCCCTGGCTGTTGCAAAACCGTATCAGTCTCTAGCTTTTTTCTTTTAAATTTATATCTAAGTAATAAATTAGGTAAACTGAATATAACCCCTGAGGACATAGCAATTTGTGATATAATTCTATTATAAAATAAGAATTTGCCTCAAGAAATAACTTATCCTGTTATCTAGTTCTTCGAGAAAAGACAAGTTAATATAAATTTAAATAAAATATCATTTTTCCTGTTTTATTCAAATGGACAGTACTTGAGAACCCAGCACAGTACGTCATTGCATAAGGACTGCAACAGAATTTTTTTGTGGCAAAGGCAGACAGCTAGTTGATGATCTATACTCTTAAAATTTCAACCAGTGCCCTGGCCAGTTTGGCTCAGCAGTTAGAGCGTCGGCCTGCGGTCCTCAGAGACCCGGGTTCGGTTCCCGCTAAGGGCGCGTGCCTCGGCTGCAGTTTGTCCCCGGCCCTGGTCGGTTGTGCGGGTGGCAGCCACTCGATGTGTTCCTTTCACATCGATGTTTCTCTCTCTCTCTCTGTTCCTCTCTCTCCCTCCCACTCTACCTGAACAAAAAATGGAAAAATGTCCTCGGGTGAGGATAAAAAAAAAACAAATAAACAAATAAAATTTCAACCAGTGCTTGTTTAGACATTTGAACAAAAAACTTAAGGAAAACATTGACTTTGCCTCCAGACATCCTATTTTACCCATTTTCAAATAAGGTGAGGTGGCCAGCCTCTGAATGAGAATGCAAATCAGAGCCCTGGCCGGGTGGCTCAGCTACTTGGAGGGGTCATACTGTACATCAAAAGGTTGCAGGAATGCAAGTCAGCTTCCATTTCACTCTGGAATCTTACATCTAGAATCATTTTACATCTAGAATCTAAAGCATATATAGTTAGTTAGCTGCAGGAGGGCATTTAAAACTCAGCTTTGAACCATTTTTTCCCTTAAGAACTCATAAAATTGATCTCTGGAATACATCTTGCAGGCCATGTATTCCATTTATTCCTCTGGGTATTTGAAGTACTAGACTTTAATCAAATTAAATAGAAAAATCACAAGAAGCTTATTATGCTTCTTTATTTTGCTTGGAAGACAGTACAGGAAATAATCATATGAATACCTCTTCATAATCTGAAAAGCCACTGTTCTTTGTTGTTGTTGTTAATCCTCAACCAAGGATATTTTTCATTGATTTTTTTTGATAGAATGGAAGGGAGGGAGGGAGAGAGAGAGAGAGAGAAATGTGGATGTGAGAGAGACACATCGATTGGTTGCCTCCCACAAAACTCCGCCCAGGGCCAGGGATCGAACCTGCAACCCAGGTATGTGCCCCTGGCTGGGCATTGAACCCACTCTAACCGCTGATCCAAACCTGCCAGTGCAAAAAGCCACTGTTTTTTTAGCTTGGTCTTTCTTATATACACACACAGAATCCTTTCAAGTTAAAGGAAAAAGCTGGTATTTTCTGAGGGCATGGTAGATTTTAGAGAAACCTATAAAAACTTTGTAACATTTATTTTTTGCTTTGGCTTTCCACGAAGTTCATGATTAAGTCAATTATAGTACTTCATATAACCCTAGATTTAAGATATATTTATTTCTTGTTCCTTCTATTTTAAAAGTTTTATTTCTTTTTTTTATTGAACTTGTTTGTATTTATGTTGTAAAATGCCTTATTCTTTCTAAAAATAGGGTATAAATAAATAAATTAAAGAAAATACAAATTTTCGGGAAATTTGGAAAGCCACACAGTAGTGTGAAAAAAATCAGGAAAGTAGGGTCTGAACATATCTGTCTCCTCCTTTTTCCATCTACTAGCACATAGTGGTGGTCCCTTTTCCAACATACCTGGCACATGCTGCCTGCCTGGATCACACCATAAAGGACAAAGGTGCAGAAATACAATTGTTAATAGTAACAAACACCTAGTCCCCCTCACCCCACCCTGCTAGACACATACCTGAAACTTCTCTTGCCATTTTATGTACTCTGGATTGTTAGATTGGGAAACAAGAATTCTGTGGGAATCAAGACTTGTAGCAGCATTGTGTGTGTCCAAAAAAGGGTTGAATAAGGAGCATCTAGGAAGTCACCAAACCTAAGAAACCTTTTTCTATGTAACTTAGATAACAGGGCAGCTAATGCTAAATGAGCTTGTTTCACCCAAGAAATAACTACTATAATAAACTACAGTAATTGAATGTAATGTAGTTTTATATAGTGGTAGGTAAAATTTTGTGAATGATAGATAAGACCATTCATTGCTCAAAATAATGTATATATAAGTGAATTATAGGTGTTATGTTAAATGGCTCTACTGTTCTCTAAAAGCAATAGGTGGGAAAAGATTGGTAGATGTTCTCTGTTTTGCCTACTGTCCCTCAGGTTTGGTCATTTCAATCTAATCTCTCTTGGATGTGTAAGACCCTTTATTTAAAACCAGTTCACTAACCTATAAGCCATAGAGCCACTACCCTACAAGATGCTTTATTTTATTTTTTTATGTTTTTATTGATTTTTTTTTTTTTTTATCCTCACCCGAGGACATTTTTCCATTTTTTGTACAGATAGAGCGGGAGGGAGAGAGAGGAAGGGAGAGAGAGAGAGAAACATCGATGTGAAGGGACACATCGAGTGGCTGCCACCCGCACGACCAACCAGGGCCGGGGACAAACTGCAACCGAAGTACGTGCCCTTAGCGGGAACCGAACCCGGGTCTCTGCGGACCGCAGGCTGACGCTCTAACCGCTGAGCCAAACTGGCCAGGGCGATTTTTTTTTTTTTTAGAGAGAGGAAGGGAGAGAGAGATAGAAATATGGATCTGAGAGAACCATCAATCGGCTACCTCCTGCATGCCCCCTACTGGGAATCAAACCTGAAACCCGGGCATGTGCCCTGACCTGGAATAGAGCAGGACCTTTCAGTCCATGGGAGGACACTCAATCCACTGAGCCACACTGGCCGGGCAAGATATGTTAAATATAGGATGCCAGTACATCGACCCTCGTTTATCACGGTTAATCAGTTCCAGACTCTACCGTGACAAATGAATTTCTGTGAAGTAGGATTCTTTATTTATACACAGTCGTCCATCTCCACTTCATGCTTCGACTTTTGCAGTTTCACTCGATTGCGATTTTTTCAAATATAGTATTTGAAAAAACCGCGATCGAGTGAAGCCATGAATGTCGAAGCGCGAAGTGGCGAGGGACGACTGTATTCATTGCATTACCCTACTCATAACTGCTTCCTGTTTTTAAAACTAGATGAATATGGATGTGGCAATTCCCATCTAAAATATAGTTTTAGTTGTAAACAGTCTTTAATAGTTATTTTCATTTGATATATGTAGTTTTTTGTTGGTATGTTTTTTTGTTGTTGTTTTGGCTTCGTTTATTTCTTCCTCTTTTTTTTTTTTTGTTAATCCTCACCTGAGGATATTTTTTCATTGATTTCTAGATAGAGTGGAAGGGAGGGAGGAGGAGGAGAGAGAGAAACCTCTATGTGAGAGAGACACATTGATTGGTTGCCTGCCACATGACTTGGACCGGGGCTAGGGATTGAACCTGCAACCCAGGTACGTGCCCTTGGCCAGGGAAGGCTTGCATTTCTTAGAGTTTTAAGATCGTCATTTCTGATTCTTTGTTTTTTTCTTTATTGATTTTTGAGAGAGAGAGAGAGAGAGAGAGAGAGAAAGGGAGAAGGAGAAATAGAAACATCGATGAGAGAGAATATTGATTAGCCACCTCCTGCATGACCCCACTGGGGATTTGACCCACAACCTGGGCGTGTACCCTGACTGGGAATTGGACCAGTGACTTCATGGTACATGGGTCAACGCTCAATCACTGAACCACACCGGAGGGGCTAATTTCTGATTCTTATTTTAAATATTCTGTTAGAAGCTTAGCTTTCTGCTAAAAATGCTTTCCCACAAAACCCAGTAAGATGTATGATCTCTGGTGTTTTTCCCTAAAGACTCATGTTGGCATGTTAACATGGGTAATCATTATGTGATACAGTTTGATCAATACTGCTTTGATCTAAAGTGCAGTCATTTGATATTAGTTAAATGTTTATTTTATTTATTTATTTGAAACTTTTTTTCTTTTTTGATTTTAGAGAGTGAGGAAATAAGAGGGAGAGAGAGAGAGAAACATCGATGAGGGAGAACATCGACTGGCCGCCTCCTGCATGCCCCGCTCTTGGGATCAGGCCACAACCTGGGCATGTGTCCTGACCAGGAATCGAACTGGCGACCTCTTGGTGCATGGATGGATGCTCAACCACTGAGCCACATCAGCCGTACTATTTTATTTATTTTTTAAAGTATTTTCTTTTTTAGAAATGTCTTTTGTCTTTCTCAAGATGAAAATATTCATTCTTTTTGTGATTCTTTCTTGTGCTTTACTGGTTCTTATATTGATAACCTAGTTCTGTAATATATATTGTCCTTCAAAGCAACTTCTGTGGCCTTTGAGCCTCAGCATTAGAGTTGGAACTGTTGGTAGATACAGTAGAAGAATGAATAACAATGAATGCCATAAGAGAGAATAAACTTTAACTAGAATGTTGATCATTAGTTAGCTGTTTGCTATATTCTTCCAATATGTGACAAAGATATGTTGTAGGTACTGTTGTTTACTACCATGGTTATGTGTTAAGCAGCCATACTTAGTAATACATTTTGAAGGTAATGAAATGTTAGACCTTAAATGCCAAAACTGTAATTTTGTATGTGCATTCTTTAGAAATATATAATAGTTTAGAAACTATAGACACTTACCAGCTTAGAAACTTTAGAAATATATAATATAGTTCGAAAAGCAAGAATCTTAGCCTGATTGACTGCTTTATTAATAAGCATATCACTATAAAAATCTATGCTGTTAATGACATTTATGGCCCTACAAAAGAATCTTTTCTAGGCTAATTACATGTGTGGAATTAATTAAACTGTCTTTTTACTTTGTGTTTCACTTACCTAGTTCTGTAAAACAAAACACATGCCTCCCCCCCCCCCCCCAATTAAACAGCTTTAAGTAATAACTTTAAGGTTTTTTTTTCCATGATTCTTTGGCTAGACTCAACCACTTCATTTATGTGGTGTTGGCTAGGATCACTCATGTACCTGAATCCAGGTGGTAGCCCAGCTGAGTTTGAATATCCAAGATGCTGGATTAGTTAAGGATTGTCTCGGCCACTTTCTCCTGCGTGCTATTTGGACACCATCGTGTAGCCTCAGAACACCAAGAGGAAGTTATGAAGCTTCTTAAGTGCTAGGCTTGTAGCTTACAGAGCATCATTTGGCCACATTCTATAAGGCCAGCTTTCAAGGAGAGGGGACATAGGAACTCTAGAAGTAGTACGCAAATACAGGAATGGAAAGGAAATATTGACAGCCATATTTGCAGACAATCTATCACACTTTTGTCATATAAACACATTTTTTTCAAAAACTTTCCATTTATTTCTTCTTTACCCTCTCCTACCTCTCCTCACCCATCTTTCTGTCTGGTAATCACCATAACTATTGCCTGTGTCTATGAGGTTTTTGTTTGTTTTTGCTTTATCCCCTTACCTTTTTCAAGCATTTTTCATGTTTGATTTTAGGTAGTGATAGTTCTTTCCTGCCAAATTAGCAGTGGCTATTTAGCTGAGTTGTTTAGAACCACTAATTATCAGTAAGCAAGTAAAATTTTTAATTTTTTCTCCCTAGTATTGACTGTGCAGGTATTTTGAAACTCCGCAATTCAGATATAGAACTTCGAAAAGGAGAAACTGATATTGGCAGAAAGAATACTAGAGTACGACTTGTGTTTCGTGTACACATCCCACAGCCCAATGGAAGAGTCCTTTCTCTGCAGACTGCTTCTATACCTGTTGAGTGCTGTAAGTGAGCTTGTGATGATGTTTTAAAATTCTGTTTATGATAGGTCATTTTCATTTTGCTTGTAATATGTTTGGAGCAAAAGTGTAAATTGAGGCACTAGATCTGGATGGTTTTTCTTATATGCTACATGGTTAGATGGGAGGAGTAATGATATTTAAGTTAGAAAATGGTTTCTTGTTATAATTTGACCCTGAGAAGCTGTGTGACTATAGAAAAATTCTCTTGACCACAATTTTTTCTTATAAAATTTTTTTAAAACATTTATTTTTAGAAAGATGGGGAACATCGATTTTTTTTTTGTTCAATTATTTGTGCAGTCACTGGTTGATTATCTCATGTGCCCTGATTGAGGACCAAACCCACAACCTTGGAGTATCAGGACAATGCTCTAACCAACTGAGCTACTCATTGTCTGTAAATGAGGAAGATAGGCTTGATGACACCTGAGGACCAAGTCATGATGCTTTGGTTCTGATAATAAGTGTTACTTGGCCATCTTTATTTCATTAAAATGTCAGCCTTTATGTTGGAAGATGCCTGTCTCTGAGCTGGCACCTTGGCTGAATAAGGACTCACAGGATTTTGTTTTATTTTTTTAACCATTTAATTACAACATCGGATTGAGAAATAAATGTTTTTTCCCCTGATGTACAAAGGCATGAAATTTAAAAAGGCCCTAGAACATGATATCTACTCAAGTACTGGAGAACTGTGGACTTCTGTCAGATTAGCTGGTGGGACTGAAATATTGAGACTACAATTTAGATCTTTCCGGCAGAAAATCAGAAGTGTTTTAATTTCGTCTTACTTTTGTGTAGGAGGAAACTAAGGCAGAAGTATCTCAAGTACTCATCCAAGGTTATTTGCTTGTAGGTGACAGAGCTGTACCTAGAGCACAGCCTTTCTTAGTACTCTTTTGGTTATATTATACCATTTTATTTCTGTTAACCACATGCATTCTTAGTTTGGGATTGCACCTACTTAATTACCTTTTTGTGCCTCCATTTGCTGTTTGCTGAATTGGAGTAATACTTTATCATTTTCCTATTGACTGTGGGAATCACTGAATACATCTATGGTAATAGAAATCACTATAGAAGTAATTTTTGTATTAACTTTTTTTTTTTAATCCTCACCCGAGGACACTTTTGCATTTATCTTCAGATAGAGCAGGAGGGAGAGAGGGAGGAAGAGAGAGAGAGAGAGACACATCAATTTGAGAGAGACACATCAACTGGTCGCCATCCACACAACCCCAACTGGGGCCAGGGATACACTGCAACCAAGGTATGTGCCCTTAGCGGAAACCAAACCGAGGGCCAACGCTCTAACCGCTGAGCCAAACCAGCCAGGGCTGTATTAAATTTTAATAGATAATACAGATATATGGTATAAAAATCAGAAAGAATGAAAGAGTATATAGTGATAAATAAATTTCTAAGTCAACTGGTTCTCCTACTTAAAAGCAGCTTTCATTGCCAATGTTTGTATATCCTGCCACTGTATTCTGTGCCCATATAAGCACATATATTTAGCAGAATAATTTAAGTTCATAGAGTAGTTTGAATTTTTGAGATGAAATTCCTCTGAAATGATTTTCTTTTTCTTTTCAGTTTATTAAAGTAATATGTGATTATTGAGAATACGCAGAATGGTACAAAGAGGAGTATTAAAATATTTTGTAATATCACTTGCTCAAGATAGTCACTATTAACTATTTTTTGGATTTTCTTTTTTTGTTTTGTTTTTTTGTATACATCTATGCATATATACAATATTTTTTTAGTTGGGCTTCCCTGATACAATTTTATAGCTTGTTTTGGTATTTTCACTTATAATGGGCATTTTCTCATATTGCTAGATATTGTTTAAAAATACTGTTAAAAACAAAACAAAACAGTATTTTTGCTTCCAGTGTACCTATGATGGCCAATTTCCACCATAAATGTCTAAAATTTGAGTAAGTCCACTCCCTAGGCCAGTCAGTCAGTGATTGTTTCTGCATTCCTTCTCTGTGAGCCATTTGGAACTTAAGTAGGGACATAAGTATTTTCTGAGATCTAGGTTGGTGCTTGGTACTTCCCAAGTGGTAATTGATCCTGACTCCCAGATCTATCCCCTATGAAAGAATCTATTTTAACATTCTTTTGAATGGAGCAAGGGTCCCAATTTCACATACCTTTTGTGGCTTGGTATTAAGAGCCATAGTGAACTGGGAGTGCCTGCTTCCTAAAGGCATTCAAGTTTAAATTTATTTAAAATGTTATTCTAGTCAAACAAAACATAGCTGGCCCTCATAGCCATCAGTTTTCCATACAAGTAGTAGGACTAAAAGTAGACCTGTTTTCCAAAAGTGAAGAAGAGAGTATAATCCACTTTTTTTTTGTTATAATTCAGAGAGAAGCTGAAGTTATCTAGGCATTTGGCAAGAAGAAACCTTTGGAGAGAACCTAAGCAACAAAAAAATGTACAATCTATAGTTTGAAGCTCAAGCAGTTAAAAAAAAAAGGCGGGGGGGGAGGAAGGCCAAAAACAGGACCTCCACAAAGTATATAGGTACTTGGAATCAGTCAGAGAAAAGTCGCTGTTTATAAATAAAATTGTTGATTTAATTAATGATACTAAGGCATTAAGAAAAACTTGTTCACATATCCTGAGAATGAAATGTGTTAGTGCACTATAGAAACATTTACATTCATTTTTTAAAATTCACTATTGAAATGTATACTTTATGTATGCTTCAGTTACTTAGTTATTTAGAAATCTGTCCAAAATGGAATCCTGATGTCTCAGTAATCTAGATGTTTTCTTGAAGAAAGGGCTACTTGGTGTTTGTCCTTTAGAAACATGTCTTTTATGCAACATAATTATACATCTTTGGATTTAATTTGTCTTTTTTTTTTTTTTAAATTTCTCACCCAAGGATACTTTTTATTTTATTCATCATCAGATAGAGTTGGAGGGAGGAAGAGAGAGAGAGACCGAGAGAAACGTCGATGTGATAGAGCCACATCGACTGGTTTGCCTCCCACACGACCTGACCAGGGCAAGGGACAAACTGTAGCTAAGGTATGTGCCCTTGACTGGAATTGAACCCAAGACTCATTGGTCCTCAGGCCAACGCTCTAACCACTGAGCAACCGGATGGGGCTAATTTGTCGCTTATAATTATATTAGATTTATTGATTTTGACAGTTGTGGAGAGGAAATATATTAAAGATTTAGGCTAAAAAGAGAAAAGTTGGATGAGGTGTATGTGTTGACGTTAGTATAAAGTATCAGGCATTAATTTCTGTTTATTAGTTGGTTTCTTTACAGTTGTAGTTTAAGACAATAATTTAGAAATCATATAAATCTATTTTGTTTTCTAAATAATGTATTTATTTTGGTGGATATTGTAACCATTGTCTTGAATTGTAAAAGTCCAGAGTTTGCTTCTCTTTTTCATTTTATAGTTTGAATTTGTCATTTATATATGAAAAATTGTAAACTAATATTTTATTTCTTCTCAACTATTAAAAATAAAACAGCTCAGCGGTCTGCTCAAGAACTTCCTCATATTGAGAAGTACAGTATCAACAGTTGTTCTGTAAATGGAGGTCATGAAATGATTGTGACTGGATCTAATTTTCTTCCAGAATCAAAAATCATTTTTCTTGAAAAAGGACAAGGTAAATAATACAAGATTTGAGTTGGTTGACCTCAAACTGAGTGGCAAAGGGTGAAATGAATTATTCATATGTTTCACTGACCTTAAACACAAAATAGTTTTTTTTAAAGCTGTAGGTATCATTTATACATATTTTATTATAAATAAAACGTTTATTAGATTTTCATATAATATTAAGTTTTCATTAAGGCTGTCTCAAAAGTAGATGAATGTCTCAGTGGTTTTATTCCTGTGTGTGTGTGTGTGTGTGTGTGTGTGTGTGTGTGTGTGTGTGTGTGTAGGTGTAGACACACACGCTCAAGAGAATTGAAAACATATGTCACAGAGAATCTTGGACACAAATGCTTATAGCAGCATATTCATAGTAACCAAAAAATGAAAATAACCCAAGTGCTCATCAACTGATACATTGATAAACAGAACGTGTACTATATTCATACAATGATGGGGTATTATTCAGCCATAAAAAGGAATAAAGTACTGATTCATGGTACAACATGGATGAACCTTGAAAACATTGTGTTAAGTGAAAGAAGCCAGCACAGAATGTCCAGAATAAGTAATGTACAGAGACTGGAAAGTAGTTGTAAGTGGTTGGAGAGCAGTGTCAATGGGGAGTGACTACAAATGGGCATGGGTTTCTGGAATTAGATAGAGGTGATGGTTGTAGAGCTTTGTGAATATAAAAACCTCTTAATTGTATACTGTAAAAGGCTGAATTTTACTTTATGTATACTATATGATTATATCTTAATTTTCATTTTATTTTTATTTTTTTATTTATTGATTTTTAGGGGTGGGGAAGAGGGGAAGATGGAGAGAGAGAAACATCGATTTGTTGTTCCGCATATTTATGCATTCATTTGTTGTTTCTTGTATGTGCCCTGACCAGGGATCAAACCTAGAACCTTGGCATAGTGGGACAATGCTCTCACCAGCTGAGCTACCTTGCCAGGGCAAATTATATCTTAATTTTTAGAAAAGTACAGTTGTCCCTCGCCACTTTGCGCTTCAACTTTCGTGGCTTCACTCTATCGTCGATTTTTCAAACACTATACTATACTGTATATAAATAAAGAATCCTACTTCACGGTAATTCATTTATTGTGGTAGAGACTGGAACTGATTAACCGCGATAAACAAGGGCCGACTATAGAAGAATCTAATGTCCATCGGGGTGTTTTATTTTAGCCTTCTTGAGCATATTTAAAAATTTTTTTTTACCAATTATTCCCTCTCATATTTTTTAAAATTTAAAAAATGTGAAATGAAATGCCTTTCTTGTAAGAATAATATAGCAAATGCTTATACGTACTTTCCAGTTTAAGAAATAGGGCATTTACTGTTGAATGTCTCTTTGTGCCCCTTTCCAAATGGATTCTTCTCCTGAATCAATCCTTGTTTTTCTTCATAGTTTTATTTTATGTATTTTCTTCTGTTTTTTTGACTTTATATAATATTGCATGTATTCTTCTGAACCTCCCCTCCCCCGTGGTCAACATTAATATTTTAGTGTAACTGAAAATCTTTCACTGTATATACGTTTTACTGTATGAATGTGCCACAATTTCTTACCAACTCTCTCTCTGGATATTTGGGCTGTTTGGTTTTTGACACTACCAAATAATAGCTAACAATACTGCTATGAGCATTCTCATTCTTTTTTTTTATCCTCACCCGAGGACATTTTTCCATTTTTTACTCAGATAGAGCGGGAAGGAGAGAGAGGAAGAGAGAGAAACATCGATATGAAAGGGACACATCGAGTGGCCGCCACCCACACGACCCAACCAGGGCCGGGGACAAACTGCAGCCAAGGTACATGCCCTAAGAGGTCTGTGGACCGCAGGCTGACGCTCTAACCGCTGAGCCAAACCAGCCAGGGCTGAGCATTCTCATTCTTATCACCTGGTGAAGTAGGCAAGAATGTCATAATTCTTAAGTTATGTTAATTCAGTAGGTGTCAAGTGGTATCTTGAACTTTGGGTTTGAATTTCCTTGTTATCTGTTGAGGTTGTTATGGATCATTTATGTTTCCTTTTTTGTGTAATGCCTTGTCCATGTCTTTGCTCTTTTTTTTCCCCATCGACTCAGTTTTTATTTACTCACTTTTGGATTCTTTATATACAGGCTGGGGCAAAAGTAGATTTACAGTTGTTTGTGTGGAAAATAGTATAATAATTAATAAACAATAATATAAGAATAAACTCTGTTTTACATACAACTATAAACCTATTTTGCCCCACCCTGTATTCTGAATATCAGAGTGAGTTGGGAAAGTACCCCATCTTTTCCCACTTTCCAAAAGTGTTTGTGTCATGTAGTCTCACCTTCCTTTGAACTCATGATAGAGCTCACCTCTGAAACCCTCTGGGCTGGGAGCTGTTTTTGTGGGGAGCTATTAATTTCTGATATAATTCTAATAATACTGCTACACTCATAATACTTCTGACACCAGGTATATAGGTTTCCCGTACCTCAAGTAATTCTTCAATACCAACTGGGTGTCCCCAGTTCAATCCATTTTAATTCTGAAACTAACTGGACTTAGTGCAGACCCCACAGGTTAGGGGCTCAGTTCTATAAGACTATCCCTCACATTAGATGCTAATTGAAAGTAGTTGGTTCTCAGGTTACCCACAACTACAGTCTATAAATCAGAGGATTCCCATTACCCCCTTCCTGGATTTGATCATTTGATAGAGCAGATCACAGAACTCAGGGAAACTTACATATGTTTACCAGTTTATTATATAATAAAGGATACAGGTGAACATCCAGGTGGAAGAGATACATAGAACAAGGTATGTGGGTAGGGGCATGGAGTTTCTGTGCCTCTTCCAGGATATCACTTTTCCATCACCTCCATGTGTTCAGCAACACAGAAGCTCCCTGAACTCCTTAATACTGGAAATTTGAAGGAGGCTTCATCACATACTCATGATTGATTATTCCATTTCCAGCTCCTCTCTCCTCTCTGGAGAATGGGCAATGGACCTGAAAGTTCTTCTAATTATGGCTTGGTCTTTCTAATGACCAACCTTCATTCAGAAACCCACCAAAAGTCACCTCCTTAGAACAAAGTCACTTGTATTTGATCTAGGGAATTCCAAGTGATTTAGGACCTCTGTCTCTGGAACCAGTTATTAGAACCAAAGATGCTACTAGTGCTCTTATTAGGAAATAACAAGGGTTTTAGGAGCTCTGTGCCAGGAGGTAGAGGCAGAAACCATTGTATATTTTTTTCTATCATTATTATTATTGTTATTATTTTTAATCTCCACCCAAGGACATTTTTGCATTTATATTTAGATAGAGTGGGAGAGAAAGAGGGAGGAAGAGAGAGAGAGAAACATCGATGTGAGAGAGACACATCGAGTGGCTGCCACCCACATGACCCCAACCAGGGCCAGTGACAAACTGCAACTGAGGTACGTGCCTTTATTGGGAACTGAACCCGGGACTCATCAGTCTGCGGGCCGATGCTGTAACTGCTAAGCCAAACCAGCCAGGGTGATATATTTTTTTCTATTATTTCACACCAGTATTTATTTATTTCACTTAAGCTTTAAAAATTATTGCCATTATTTGCTCATATTATTTATTTCTTGCATTTGGAATTACATGACTTTAAAAAAATTATTCCTGCCCGGCCGGTGTGGCTCACTGGTTGAGCATTCACCCATGTACCAAAAGGTCACCAGTTTGATTACAAGTTGGGACACATGCCCAGGTTGTGGGCCCAATCCTCAGTTAGGGGCATGTAGGAGGCTGCCAATTGATGCTCTGTCTCATCAGTGTTCCTCTCTCTCTCTCCCCCTCTTCCTTCCTCTCTCAAAATCAATAAAGAAAAAAATTATTCCTGCTGTTTATTTGTGTCATCTGTTTTTTTAATCAGTTTTTCCAGAGTACTTGGCTTTGTTGATCCTTTCAGTTGTGTCTTTGTTTTGTTTCTATAATTCCTATAGTTTTTCTTCTTTTCACCTTTTGTGGGGCTTAATGTTTTTCATTAATTTAAATACTTATCTCATTCACTTTTTATTCTTTCATCTTTTTTTGTTGTTGTTAATCCTCACTCGAGAATACTTTTCTCATTGATTTGTTTTTAAGAGAAAGTAGAAAGGAAGGAAGGGAGGGAGGGAGAGAGAGAGACAGGTGGAGACAATGATTGGTTGCCTCCTGCATGAGCTCCAGCCAGGGCTGGGGATCAAATGAGCAACCCAGGTATGTGTCCTTGACCGAGAGAATTGAACCCGAGAGTCTTCTGTACAAGGGCCAACACTCTAACCACTGAGCAACACTGGCCAGGGCAATCCTTTTATCTTTTTTAAACTTAAAGAGTTTGAGGTTATTCATTGCCCCATAGCATGTTTAATGTAATTTCAGTCCCTCTTTTTCTACTGAACTCTTTTTGGAGTTTAAATATATTCAGTCTTGCCCAGCAGGTGTGGCTCAGTGGTTGAGCATTGACCCATGCACCAAGAGGTCACTGGTTCGATTCCCAGTCAGGCCACATGCCCAGGTGGCAGCCAGTCGATGTGTCTTTCTCGCGTTGATGTTTCTCTCTTTTCCTTCCTCCTTCTTTCCCTCCTGCTCTGTCTGAAGATAAATGCAAAAAAATAGTCCAAGTGAGGATAAAAAAAAAAATTTTTTTTAAAGATTCTCTCTTTGTCTTTAACCTGTGGCATTTTGATGATGATGTGTCTTGGTGTGGACCTCTTTGGGTTCGTCTTGTTTGGGACTTTCTGTGCTTCCTGGACTTGTATGTCTGTTTCCTTCACCCAGGTAGGGAAGTTTTCTGTCATTATTTTCTCAAATAGGTTTCCAATTTCTTGCTCTGTCTCTTCTTCAGGCACCCCCATAATGCGAATGTTGGTACACTTCAAGTTATCCCAAAGGTTCCTTACACTATCCTCATTTTTTTGGATTCTTTTTTCTTTTTGCTATTCTGATTGGATGTTTTTTGTTTCCTTCTATTCCAAATTGATGGTTTGCTTCTTG